GGACGGATACGAAACCACAGCGATCGGAAGAGTGCCCCCGCTGCTTCCGGTCCTAGATTCCGAGCCAGCGCCCTTGCCGGGCGGGAGGTGAAGTGACGCTGCTGCCAGAAGATGGCGGCGACGGAGACTCTTGCTTCGTCAACCACCGCCACGGCGTCGGCGTCGGCCTCGGCCGCAGCGACCGCCACTGCGGCGGCTCTCGGGGAGGTGGAGGATGAAGGACTCCTGGCATCGCTGTTCCGGGACCGCTTCCCCGAGGCCCAGTGGCGGGAGCGGCCCGACGTGGGCCGCTACCTCCGGGAGTTGAGCGGCTCCGGGCTGGAGCGGCTGAGGCGCGAGCCCGAGCGCTTGGCGGAGGAGCGGGCGCAGCTGCTGCAGCAAACGCGCGACTTGGCCTTCGCCAATTATAAGACCTTCATCCGCGGCGCCGAGTGCACCGAGCGCATCCACCGCCTCTTTGGCGACGTGGAGGCGTCGCTCGGCCGCCTGCTCGACCGCTTGCCCAGCTTCCAGCAGAGCTGCAGGTGTGGCGGGCCCGGCACTATAAAGGGGCTTTTAGCAACTGTAATAGCTGACGTTTATGATGATAGAAATAGCTAACGCTTACATAGCACTTACCATGCGTCAGGCTCTCCTTTGAGCATTTTAAAAACTTAAATTCCACAACAACTTTCGAGGTAGGTACTGTTATTCCCATTTTATGTATGAGGAAGTTGAGACAGGGAGCTTAGTGATTGTTCAGTGGGCACAGCTAGTAAGTTTCGAAGTCAGAATTGGAAACCAGCAGCACGTCCCTCCCTGACAGGACTGTTGGGAGTACTAAATAAAGAGATTCCATGCCAAGCGCTTATTATTGGGTCTGACATAGTTAACACTCTACGGTCGTCAGCAACAGTCTACACACACACACACACACACACACACACACACACACACACACACACCAGCTGAGACCGTCCAAAACTTCTAATGGATAGAAGGCTGACAAGGAAATCCTTCCAGTTGGAGGCAAAAATTATCAAAAAATCCTTTAAGCCGTAATTTGCCTCTCTAGATCCTCAGTCTATTATCCCTAATTCTGCCTTTCAATTTTTCACCTTTCTTTTGAGTCTTTGGATATTTGACAATAGCTCCTGTACCCTTCCGCCTTCCAGAATAGGTAGGGGACCTCATGAAGCAGGTCACTGCAATTACGGAGGAGTGAAAACTGCTAAGAATTAAAGTTGAACAACAGCAGAAGGGAAAAATTAAAGGGGCTGAGGGAATTTAAGGTTAAGGTTGTAGCTTTTAAGCTAGTTAGTGCATTTTTATGAAAAGCATAGCTAGTAAAGGAACATTTACCATGTGTAAGGTTGTGTTAAGTTTGTTACACACATCTCATTTAATCCTCACCTCCTTGTGAGGTGGGTCCTATTACTATTTTACTAATGAGAAAGAGTTCAGAGAGCCTAAGTACCTTGTCACAGTTAAGTGGCAGATCTGGGTTCACATATGATAAATAATCGTGTGATTTGGGACAAGTTGCTTAGCCTCTCTGGGATTAGAGTTTCCTCAAGGGTAGTAGTACTTACCTCAAAGGTTTGGTGTGAAGATTAAGTCATAAACCATGCAGCTCAGTGCCCAGTCCATGGTAATCACTTGGTAAATGTAGCTGAGTTGTGGGTGTGGAGCAGTGAGTGACCGAAATTCTCTTACCAGAAACTTTGTGAAAGAGGCTGAAGAGATCAGTTCCAACCGCCGGATGAACACCCTGACCCTAAACCGGCACACAGAAATCCTGGAAATCCTGGAGATCCCCCAGCTCATGGACACTTGTGTCCGGAACAGCTACTATGAAGAGGCCCTGGAGCTTGCGGCCTACGTACGCCGACTGGAAAGGAAATACTCCTCCATCCCTGTCATCCAGGTAGCCAAACTGTCCCAAAAGGACTCAAGCTGATGTTCTTATAATCAGTAATTGTGTGGTCATCGCTGAACCTTTAGGCAGACACCTTAGGGAAACTGCAAGTTTTACATCAATTTCTGCCAGGCAGGCTTGAACATAAAATATTCATTCATTCATTCATTCATTCATTCATTCAAGTGATAAATACTAATCATGTGCCAGGCACTAATCTAGGTGCTAGGGAGAAACGAGACAAGGCAGACAAGGCCCTGGCTTTCATGAATGAAAGCTGATAGTTGGTAAATAAATGATCCTTTCAGATAGTGGTAAATGAAGAAAATAAACCAGGGAATGGATAGGAGACTAGATGAGGTACCCTAGGTAGAGTGGTCAGGAAAGGCTCTGTTGGAGAAATAATATTTAAGCTGAGACCCAGATGATGAGAAGGAGCCCGCCACAGGAAGATGTGGGGAAGGCGCAAACCACAAAGTGGAAAAAATAAGTATGGCAGGCTCAGGAGGGAACACGTTAGGAGTATTTAAGAAATACAAAGATAGGGAAAAAAAACCACAAACAGTGTGCCTGGATTGCAGTGAGCAGGGGGACAGTATTAGGAAGTGGGTGTGGCAGGAGAACCAGACAGGGCCTGTAGGCCACAGTGAACCAGACCTTTGTTGGTAACCCTGTACACATCAGCTTTAGGAAATCTTTGTAAGTCAGGAAAGCAGTGGTCTGCCTCTCTAGTCTGCAACATTCAGGGGTAGTGGAATGGGTTCCAGAAAGTATTTTTCCCATTGTGGTATGACTGACCCCCTTTATTGTCAGGGCATTGTGAATGAAGTGCGCCAGTCCATGCAGCTGATGTTGAGCCAGCTGATCCAGCAACTGAGGACCAATATCCAGCTCCCTGCCTGCCTCCGTGTCATTGGCTTCCTGCGGCGCATGGATATCTTCACTGAGGCTGAGTTGAGGGTGAAGTTTCTTCAGGCCCGAGATGCTTGGCTCCGTTCCATCCTGACTGCCATCCCCAATGATGATCCCTATTTCCACATCACAAAAACCATTGAGGCTTGCCGTGTCCATCTGTTTGATATCATCACCCAGTACCGTGCCATATTCTCAGATGAGGACCCATTGTTGCCGCCTGCCATGGGTGAGCACACTGTGAACGAGAGCGCCATCTTCCATGGCTGGGTGCTACAGAGGGTCTCGCAATTCCTGCAGGTGCTGGAGACCGACCTTAACCGGGGGATAGGTGGCCGCCTAGACTCTCTGCTGGGTCAGTGCATGTACTTTGGGCTGTCCTTCAGCCGGGTGGGGGCTGATTTCCGGGGCCAGTTGGCTCCTGTCTTCCAGCAGGTGGCCATCAGCACTTTCCAGAAAGCAATTCAGGAAGCAGTGGAAAAGTTCCAGGATGAAATGAATTCCTACACCCTCATCTCCGCTCCAGCCATCCTGGGCAGCAGTAACCTGCCTGCTGCTGTGCCAGTCACTCAGCCAGGGACCTTGCAGCCACCGATGGTACTCTTAGATTTCCCACCCCTTGCCTGCTTCCTGAACAGTATTCTGGTTGCCTTCAATGATCTGCGCCTCTGCTGCCCTGTGGCCCTGGCACAGGATGTGACTAGGGCCCTGGAGAATGCTCTTGCCAAGGTGAGCACATACTGCTGGCTCTCTACTGGGGCTTTCTTTGGTAGTAGGTGGCCAGACTTTTGTAAAATATAAACCAGTCCATGTGTTAGGTGGTTGCAGACTTAGGTTTAGTGGGGTTTTAGAGGTTTTTCTGATTGAGCAGCTCTGGTTAGCTCCCCCTTATGGGACCTAGAACAATTCATGAAGTGGCTTACCTGCAATAATGATTCAGTAATGTTGCATTTGTTTTCTGTTGTTGCATAACAAACTCCATAGCAGCCTAAAACAACATATGTGTATCATCTCCCACTCTCTGTAGATTGGGAGTCCTGGGTCCTCTGCTTAGGATCTCTCCCAACGTTGCAGTCAAGGTGTTGGCCAGGCTGCAGTCTCATCTGAAGCTTGACATCCCCTTTCACGCTCATTCATGTTGGCAGATTTCTGTTCTTTGCAATTATAGGTCTAAGGCCTAGAGGCCACCTCACTCCATAAGCCTGTTCACAGTGGGGCTTTCTGATTCTTCAAGGCCAGTGGAAGAGCATCTCTCCTGCATGAGTCTCTTCTGTTAAGGAAGTCCTCAACCCTTTTTTAAAAGATTCGTCTGATTAAGTCAGGCCCACCCAGGATATCCCTTGATTAATTCAAAGTCAGCTGATAGGGGCTTTAATTACCTCTGCAAAATTGTTCATATTTGTCATATTATATTGGTTAGAAACAAGACACACATTCTGCCTGCAATCAAGGGGAAGGGATTACACAAAGGAGTGGACACCAGGGCGGGTGGGATTCAGAAGAGCCATCTTAGAATTCTACAGAACACAATAAATACTAGCACCAATCATATCCTACACATTTTTTACATATTTAAACCTTAAGATATTGAGGTGCTTCTTAAAACTTATGGCATCTTATAATTGCTGTCAGCCAGATGGCAGTTGTGACATGATTATATAAAATCTTTCTGGGCCGGGGCGCCTGGGTGGCTTACTCAGTTAAGCATCTGACCTCAGCTCAGGTCATGATCTCAGGTTCGTGAGTTCGAGCCCCGTATCAAGCTCTGTGCTGACAGAGCCTGGAGCCTGCTTTGGATTCTGTGTCCCCCTCTCTCTGCCCCTCCCCTGCTCACACTCTTTGTCTCTCAAAAGTAAATAAACATAAAAAAAAAAAAAAATTAAAGTTTTTGTGGGCCCAGCTCTCTCTCTCTCTCTTGAGCTTGCCTGCTCTCATATCTTTGATACAACTGTTAATGGCCTCCTGTAGGAGGAAGCAAGCATGAGCAATGAAACTTTTTTGTCAGTGAAATTCAGGTAATAGTTATCTGCTAATGTTTATACAGAACTTACTCCATGCCAGGTAGTATTCATCATACTTTATACCTATTAAGACTTGATCCTCACAATCCTAAGAGGAAGGAAGGAAAGGTACGGAAACTGAGGAGCAGAGGGCATGAAGTGTTTAATCACTTGGAAGCCACAAAACCAGCAAGCGGCACAGCTAGGACTTGAACAAGAAAGTGTAGCTCTGTTATTTGTGTGTGGAACTTCTTTTCCAGGTCTGTCTTCCTTTCTAGTTTTCTAGTGGTCTAGCTTCCTGGAACCTCAAAGGTCTTACTCAGTAAAAACCTTTTATAGTTTTGCTTCATTTTTCTGAATCCGATATAGTTCTGGTCCATCTCCTGAAGGAGTCAAGAACCTCTTGATGCTCTTCCACTGGAACTGGAACCTGTGCCAGTAATGAAACATGTTGAGTCAGAAATAGATCAACGAAGTGACAGAACTGTGGAGAGTGACCACAATTCTGAATTTAAACAAGACAGTAATGTACTGTTTGGAAAGACTTTCTTTATGCCTTGTCCCCTAGGTAACTAATATAATCCTGGCCTTCCATCGTGCAGAAGAGGCTGCTTTCAGCAGTGGGGAGCAAGAGCTCTTCATCCAGTTCTGCACCGTCTTCGTGGAAGACCTTGTTCCATATTTAAATCGCTGTCTCCAAGTCCTTTTTCCACCAGCTCAGATAGCACAGACCTTAGGTAAGACAAAGGAGGGGAAAGATCTTTAAAACGACAGTACTTTACTGATATAATTCACATATTAAATAATTCACCCATTTGTAAAATTCGATGTTTTTTTTAGTAAATACACAGACATGTACAACCATTACCACTATCCAATTTTAGGACGTTTCCATCACCCCCAAAAGATCCCTCGTGCCCAATGCAGTCATTCCCCAATCCCACCTTTAGCCCCTGGCAACCAGTAATCTGCTTTCTGTTGCAGATTTGCCTTTTCTGGACATTTCATATAAATGGAATCCTACAATATGTGTTTATTTGGCTAAGTGGAAGAGATTAGAAAAGAATCACATATTGTGTGAATGTCCAGAGAAGGTGTTTTAAAAAGATTTTTCCGGATCTGTCTTCACTTGCCTGTGCCCACTCTCTCTGTGCTGGGGATGGGGCATGGAGGAGACGGAGCTTCCCGAGGGGCAGTGGGCCGGTGATGACCACACCAGCGTAGTAGCTGTTGGGCACTTTCCCCCAGCCTTTTCCTTCCACAAGGAAGCCAGTGCCTTCTGACGTTCTCTTGACTGTTAGCTCCACCCACCTACACTGTGCTGTTCCAGATTACTTTCAAAGTCTCTCTTTACAGTAAAGCTTCCTGTCCCATATCACAAAGATGACTTTTACTGTATTGAAGAATGGAAATTGTATCTGTCACTCCCTCCCTCCAAGTGTTTTTCCCCCTGTGATATAAAAATTTAAATTTATTGAACGTTTTTTTCTATTTCACTTTCTCTACCTTTTGGCTCAGGCATCCCTCCCACTCAGCTCTCCAAGTACGGCAACCTTGGGCATGTGAACATCGACGTCGTCCAGGAGCCTCTCGCCTTCATCCTGCCGAAGAGAGAGCTGGTCCTGTGTCTAGACGAAAAGGAGCTGGTGCCCGAGCTCCCAGCTCCAGCACCGGAAGTCCCCCCCGAGGAGTCAGGCGTCGAGCCGGTCGCTGCGGCTTTCCCCGAGGGTGCGCAGGAGCAGGCTGACACGGCCGAGCCGCTGCAGACCGAGGTGCCGCGTGCGGACACCTAACTCGCGCCGGCGCGGGGGTGGGGGGAGGCCGGTGAAAGCTGGGGACAGCCCCGGAGGACAGGCTGCGAGGGCATTCATCACAGCCCGTGAAAGGGGGGACCTCCCGGTCACTTTTGCAAATGGTTGGTGATACTGTAAAAAACGGAATTAAACAATAAAGCTGACTGACGTCACGGAGGCCGGCTGCGCTCTCAAGGCGCGCGGAAACTGCGCTTCCCGGCGTCCCCCGCGACCGGAGCGCTCTCCTACGGGGGCCGGGGAGGACCGCGGCGGCTGGGCAGCTGTGCTCGGCGCACCGGGGGCCGGATGGGGGCCGGACTGCTGCTGGGGCCGCTGCTGGGGCGGTCGCGTCACTGCTTGGGGCCGACACCGCCGTGGGGAGAGGGGACAGGGGGCCGCAGCGTCCGGGCCTGTAGCTCCGCGTCCGCCCCGGACGGCCTCGAGGGCCCGGCGCGCCAGCGGTCTTACTGGCGCTACGTGCGGCGCCTGGTGCGGGGAGCGCCCGAGCCGCCGTACCCGCGCGTGTGTCAGGTCGGGGACCCGGCGCTGCGGGCCGTGGCGGCCCCGGTGGAGCCCGCGCAAATGGCGGGGCCCGAGCTGCAGCGGCTGGTGCAGCGGCTGGTGCAAGTGATGCGACGCCGGCGCTGCGTAGGCCTGAGCGCTCCGCAGCTCGGGGTGCCGCTACAGGTGTTGGCCCTGGAGTTCCCCGAGGCACTCTTCCGCGCCTGCGCGCCGCGCCTGCGCGAGGCCCGCCAGATGGAGCCCTTCCCTTTGCGCGTGTTCGTGAACCCCAGCCTGCGGGTGCTGGACAGCCGCCTGGTCACCTTCCCTGAGGGCTGCGAGAGCGTCGTCGGCTTCCTGGCCTGCGTGCCCCGCTTCCAGGCCGTACAGATCTCAGGTGCAGGGGGTGGGCAGTGGCCGTGGGGCGGTTGGATAAACGGTTGCGTCCCTCCCCCAGCCCATGGAGGCGGCGACCTCGGGCCCCACGAAACGGTTTTGTCAAAACTCCAGTTAAAAGTGGAAGGGCAGGCTCAATGAAGCCTTCCGTCAGGAACTAAGAGCAGGACCGGGGAGTGGATTTGATTCAAGACTAACCAATTGGGATAGGGGAAGAGGCTCGTGTAGCAGCTGAGCCAGCTCGCTGGGAAAATGTATTGGGGCTGAGAAGGTGACCTAATTCGATGGTACCTCACACCAGGTCCTCTGCTCTGTGCCCTCTAGTTCGCTGTCCCACACACAGACTTTTGCCTCAGTTGCATCTGTCATGGTCGAGTGGAAATAGTGGGACCCAGCTTTGCCCAGTCCAGGGTGATATGCCATTCCTGGTCTGTCGTAGTACAGGATGTTTTCTGAAATGGAATTCGTTGCTGGGATTAGGATTGTTCATTTTAAGCAAGCCACTTGGTCCAGGTCAGAAGGTAAATGGTATCCCTTTATTTTATAATGTACCGAGTTGAAATGCTTTTAGGAATTGAAATCAAACAGTATTTCAGAAATGAGAGGAATGTTCAGAAAGGAAGCACCTTACGAAGATCATTTCTCATTTCAGCCCCATAGTAAGCCCAGCAACCTAATTGTCAGCGTTAGAGCCACAGTGAATACCTGGTAATGGGCAAAGTTAAGGCATCTTTTCTGGGAAGGATAGGGGTTGCTGTCTACATTCCCTTCTCATGTTGCCTCTTGTGAACAGGAACAGCCAAGGGCTGGGAAAAGTAGGGAGATTAAAAACAATGCAGTTCGGCGTATTCTTACCCAGGCTGTAAATTACTTTGCAGGGCTGGACCCCAGAGGGGAGCAGGTGGTGTGGCAGGCGAGTGGATGGGCAGCCCGTATCATCCAGCATGAGATGGACCATTTGCAGGGCTGCCTGTTCATCGACAAAATGGACAGCAAGACATTTACAAACATCCACTGGATGGAGGTGAATGATTAGTTTTCCTGCTGCACCTGAGTATTCTGGAAACCAAAACACAAACACCTGGGCTCTGAGCTGGGACTGGCTTGCTTGACGGCAACTTGATATTGGCTTGGCTCTGACAGAAAACAATGGATTGCCAAACCAAACTGGAGAAATATGTTCAAAATGTTTGCCCTGAAACCGGCCATGGACAAAATACTGCCTCCAACTTGAGAAGAAAATAAATTTCTCCAAAGAGAGAACATTTCCTGATGATTTTGTATGGTAAAACGTGAGGCAAAATAAATAACCACTCTTAGTAGACATGATTTCATAGACCTGTATAATCTATCCCAACGCCAAGATTTGATAATAACATAGTCCCAAAATATCTGAAAGCTTTGCTTAAAAATGCAGGTTAAGGCTGTGGTTGACCATCTTCACAGAGTTCGTTTTACAAAGGGCTTGTGTATCATACCTGCAGAATCCTTCTTTGCCTTGGACACCAGTGTGCGTGTGTAAGTGAAACAGGATGGCCACAGTTCACAGAAGTGTTTAATGACAATATTAACGTAAATGAGTACCCACACATTTTACCAGGTTTACACAGTTTTGATCTCCACCTTCTGCCTTCTACCTTTAGCAGATTTGGGGATGATTTTCCTGCTGAGATCTCTTGGGCAGCTGGTACTCTTTGGGTGGAGGTCATGGAGCATGGCTAGGGGAAGGATGATAGTTGAGACGGAGCAATGAACCTCTTCCTGTCACAGAAAGCAAAATGTGCTTCCTGGTCACCACACTTGTTTTGAAAAAATAAATTAGCATCACGTTGACCAATGAGTAGCCATAAGACACTGTAAAAGCTTTGTCAGGAGGTGAAGGAACTTGTTTCTCAAGATACTGGTTTTGCCTCATTTTTATGTTGAGTGTTTTACAAGGCAGGTACCGTTACCAAACAGAGCCCTCAAAATCCAAGTACCCATGTAGTAAGTCCAGTAAGTTATTTAGAAAAAAAACGTGTTTTATTTATTTAATGTTTGTTTCTTTATTTTGAGAGACAGTGTGAGCTGGGTGAAGAGGAGAAGGAGGAGGGGCAGAGAAAGGAGGAGAGAGAGAGAATCCCAAGCAGGCTCCACGCTGTCAGTGCAGAGCCCAACATGGGGCTTGACCTCACAAACCATGAGATCATGGCCTGAGCTGAAACCAAGAGTCAAACAATTAACCCGCTGAGTCACGCAGGTGCCCCAGAAAACAACATGTTTTAAACAGCAGCTGGCTAAACAAACCCAGGAAAGATCCACTCTCCTGTACGGCTTTCTCTAAACAGGCTGTCTGGGGGTCATACTATGAGGCCAAGCAAAAGGGAACTGGCTCTCTGTGCATTAAACTTTGGAAGGGAACAGGTGCCAGCATTGCTCCAAGGTTAGATACTCAGCCCCTGGGGAAGTCTATAGAAAACTCTTATTCATACTAAAAACATGGATCCTTATGAAATTAGAATTCAATGAGCCTCCATTCCCTTGGACAATGTTTATAACCTCCTGCAGGGTGGCATCAGAATATTCTAAAAATTTTTTTAATGTTTATTTATTTCTGAGACAGACAGAGACAGAGCACGAACGGGGGAGAGTCAGAGGAGACACAGAATCTGAAGCAGGCTCCAGGCTCTGAGCTGACAGCACAGAGCCTGACGCGGGGCTTGGACTCACAGACTGTGAGATCATGACCTGAGCCGGAGTCGGAAGCTCAACCAACTGAGCTACCCAGGTGCCCCAGGCATCAGAATATTCTAATGTTTCCTTACACCTTACAGTGCTCTGAGGTTAACAGTTCTTACTGATGCCTTTGTAATGTAGGTCTGTAACATTTGACTGAAGCTTCCTGACCTGGGGGCCCAAGAGTATATGGTAGCTCAGAGTGGACCTTAGAGAAAGCTTGAAACTGTCTATATTGCTGACAACTTGAAGTTTACTATTGTAACCAAATCCACTTAGAGGAAGGATCTGTTCAACTAAATACTGTAGACCAAAGGCAACAAATCTGGATTTGTAATAAAATCTCTCCCATCTCAGGCAGATACATCAGCCAGCAATCAGCATCTTGAGCTAAGGAAAGTTTTAGAGGTCAACTACCAAAGTGAAAGCCAAGGTAGACAGAAGGTTTAGGGTAGAATTCCCAAGTAGGGAAGAGGGAATTTCACGGTTAGCATTTAGGGGAGGAAATTCCTCTGCACATATTAGCCATGTTTAACATAGATGGTGAAGCCACCGCATCGGTTCAGCCCCAAATGTGAATAGGACATTCGTCACCCTGCTCCGAGTCACTGGTGGTGGAGACAGGAATGGAGAGGCATGGCGTGCTGTGATGAGCCACAGCAGCCCCAGTTTCCGTTAACCCCTGTGACTTGTCAAGGTGTTTAAGCAGTGGAAAGGAAGATTAAAAAATAAAGTGAGGAGCTCCTGATTCAAGTAAAGGTGACTGGAGGCAGAATAAGAAAACACAAAAGGCTAAAAGGAAACCGCACAAGCAGAGGCAGTGTCCTATGCTGGCTTCTAGTCCAGCACTTACAAACAGTAATTGGTGGCTGAGGCAGCAGGTTATCGAGGCAGGGCTAACGCACCCAAGTGGAGAGGAGCGCTTGGGCCCGAGCCTTCAAGGAACCCATCAAAAGCTGGCTCAATTCAGCAGCCATTCCTAACCAAATCAAAGAACACCACAGCGGCAAGGCTAACGCGATCTAAGGTGGGCCACGTAATCCATTCTGGACAATTCGGGTTTTACTAAGATATAGAACAATAATACCGGCTTCTTGACGGGGAGGAGGGCTGGAACAACCCGATGCCGGGCCTTCTGTATGTTCACATGCGCGTGGTCAAAATGCGACAGCCTCCTCGACAGACGGCATTTCTAGGGCTGCCCGCTCTGGAGCCTCGGGCGTCTCATGATCAGGAGTCACAAATCCAAATGGCCACAGGGGCTGAGCAGGCAACGCAAGGGAAAGAAGCAGTCCATGTGGGGATGGCTGCGCTGGACAGCGTGTTCTCCTCCTGAACAGCGCAGCCCCTGCTCGGCTGCGGCTGACAGGATGTCTCACGGGGACGCAGGCCCAGAGTTGCCCGATGTCCCCAAAGCCAGAACTCTGAATTTCCACATCAACTCTCTTGCTTTTTCAATGCTGGCAGCAGACCAAAGCAAACACAGCTGCAGGCCGTGTCTGGCCCACAGGCCCCCCGGTTTGCAGGGAGAACTGTCCAGGTCCCACATTTGCAAGGCCTTAAGGCGAAAAAAGTTCTGGCCGACCTGACCAGAGAACAGGCTGCGGAACTGTGACAGCTGGCAATGCCCTCCTCTGCTGACGAGAAGAGCACGGAGAGAAAACCAGAGGGTCTTTCTACTGGAAGCAAGCGTGGCCTTCAAGAAGCCCCAGACAGGAATCAAAGATGAGATCACTCAGGTGGCTCAAGAGGGAAAAGGATTTATTAGCCCATTTCCAGGGCGGGGTGCCAGGGGCAGTGGCTGGGTTCAGCGTTCTCACATTCAGAGGGAAGAGAAGGCAGCAGTGAAACCCTACCTGACTGCCCTCACTCATTCTGATCTACATAGCTTTGTGCTCACAAAAACCATCCTCTCCTCCTGCAGGGAGGACACAGGGCCCAGGATGCTGACGTAGGGGCTGGGAATGGCTTGGCTTTACTCTCAGCCTTTACAGGCAGGGCTTGGGCTGGTGACCCAGGGCATTCGCCATTGTGTGCACAAGGAGTAAAACTTGAGTTAGAAGAAAAGGGCGGAGGGAGCTGGCAAGCCATTCTGACTGTCTGTACCAACCCCACATTGTGGGCTGCTCCTACTCCTTGATGGTTCTGGGAGATTTTAACTTTATTTATAAAGAAGACAAAAAATCCAAGCAGCATTAATTTAGGGGAACAAAGAAGGGTTCAAAAAACAAAACAAAACATGTAGGGGCAGGACAAGGAGTTGATGAGCATCCAGAAGAGGAGGAGAACCAGTAGGAAGAAGTAGGAAGAACCAGTATTCCACCCAGTGCCGAATGTGCTTCTGTGTCTCTGCGGCCCCGGAGGCCCTTCCTTCCCGCTCCCCGGCTGGTGGCCAGACAGCAGAGGGGACGCCAGAGGGACGTGAAGATGAGCCCCGGGGCCCTGTCTGGCTGCTGACATGGGGGATGCCATGGATTTTTTTTACCCCAATCAATTCCTCCCACCTTCACCATCACCGAGTGAAGAAATTTTTAACTCTCCTGTCCAAAGTCCTCTGAGAATTTCTTCACTTTCAGGAGGTCCTCTGCATTCACGGTGGGCCGAGTGGTAGCCAGAGACCGGAGCATGTCCGACTGCAAAGACAAGGGCACGAAGCTGAGGAGCCAGGCTCCAGGTCCTCGGCCTCCCCGTGTCACAGAGCCATGTGGTCCAGGGCAGGAAGAGGCCTCCCCTCGTGGTCACTCCCAGCCCCAAGTGCAAAGCTCCCCTTGGTTGCCCAGCTTCTGCTTGAATGTCTCCTGTGACAGGACAGCTCTTCCCTCCTGAGGCAGCTCATGTCGTTTCCAAACAGGCCCACTCCTCATCTGAGAGAATCCAAGCTCCCCTCATCTCTTAACTCCCACGAGAAGCTCTTTCTGACTCCACACCCACACCAGCCGCACTGGCAGGACACCTGCCACACGCAACAGGCAAGACCGTCAACAAGACCAGGATGAGGAAAGGGCCAGACTAGTCCCATGAGGCTGCCTGTGCAACAGCATCAAAGCAAACTGCTGAAAGACACTGTTTCCTTCTGGGCACAAAGCAAGCCAAACCCGTGGAATGATGCAGTCCCACCAGCTGGCCTTTTTTCTTGCTGAAGAAAGTAAAATGCTAACACTATGGCCTCATCCTGGGCCCGCAGTAAGTCTAATGGCAGGAGCTCCAGCTACCCAGAGCCCCATCGGCCATTCTGTTTGGGAGGAGGCACAACAGCCCAGGACAGAGAAGCAGAGCTTATTTTCAGACCCAAGGCCCCAATTTTCTGGTCTCTGTGCAATCCCTGGCCCAGCTGGCTGCTTACCATGCAAACCACAGGCTCTAAGAGTTTGTCACCAGGGACATCCATCCAAGTCATCTCCATGGCCTCTGGGTCCCCTGGGGAACATGGGGTCAGGAGGTCATCGATCATAACGCTAGGGTTGGTGCGGGAAGGGCCACAGACCTGAAATCAAAGAGGAGTCTGGCTGGAGGGGTTGCCCCTCAGCGCTTGGGGAAGAGACAGGATGCCTCAGGTTCTGAGTCACGAAGAGAAGGGAATGGTAGGGAATGAACGCACGCCTGAGTTTCGAGGTCATCAGTCTGAGAAGGCAATGACTCCTTCAAAACTCGGATTGGAAGTCAAAGTAGCTCAAAGTAGGATCTCAGAGGTTTGTGATTAGCCTGCTATTCCAGGCGCTGTTCTCCAGACTCTCAGTTTGGGGTCCAGAGTGCCCTGATATCTTCCTCTTGCTCATCCACTCTGTCAGATCTCACCACAAATGCAGTGACATCAGAAATGTCTTTCCAACCAGTCTGCTTTATTGGCAACATCCCCCTGAATATCCCCGAGGCTAAGTCCCTCCTTCCTTCAACTGTTGACTCAAATGTCACCTGGGGTGATGTACCCCTTAAGAGTACAACCTGGGGGCGCCTGGGTGGCTCAGTCGGTTGAGCGTCCGGCTTCGGCTCAGGTCATGATCTCTCAGTCCGTGAGTTCGAGCCCCGCGTCAGGCTCTGTGCTGATAGCTCAGAGCCTGGAGCCTGCTTTAGATTCTGTGTCCCCCTCTCTCTCTGCCCCTCCGCCACTCATGTTCTGTCTCTCTCTGTCTCAGAAATAAATAAACATTAAAAAAATAATAATAGGGGCGCCTGGGTGGCTCAGGCGGTTGGGCGTCCGACTTCAGCTCAGGTCACGATCTCGCGGTCCGTGAGTTCGAGCCCCGCGTCGGGCTCTGGGCTGATGGCTCGGAGCCTGGAGCCTGCTTCCGATTCTGTGTCTCCCTCTCTCTCTGCCCCTCCCCCGTTCATGCTCCGTCTCTCTCTGTCTCAAAAATAAATAAACGTTAAAAAAAAAAAAAAAAAAAAAAAAGAGTACAACCTGCCCACCACACTCCAAACTCCAGAACACCAGACGCCCTCCCCTGCTCTGTCCTTCCCCTCATCACCCTCAGAGACAAATTTCACCCCAACTAGACAGGAGGCTCCTACAAGGCAGAGATTTATTCTGCTCTGGTCACAAATGTCTCCCTGGCTCCTAGAACAGCACCAGGCGCAGAGCAGGACCCTTGGCCGACACTGGGCAGAGATGTGCTGTGTGAAACGAGATCCTCCTTCGAGCGTGTGATTTTGTGCCCAACACTTTTCAGACATCGAGTGGGGCCCCACACGTGGCGGCACAGCCGGGGGTGGCAGAAGTGGCTGCCGTGGCCTCTGGCTTCACAGTCTGAGGTAGTCACACTCAAGCAAGAACTACAGGAAAGGGCGGAGCAGGGGCAACCACAGCCCCTGGAGCCAGAGGGCTCATTTTGTACTTGCCCTTGATTCTCCATGAGACCAAAGATGTATCATCAACTGAGCAGCCAAGCTGCGGGCCAAGAAAACGGATATCCGTGTTCCTATGACACTCCCTAAGCGACTCCCTGCCGGCCACTCACCTTTTTGAAGTGTGTTGCCGACTGTACTTTTCGAACAGGCTGCATGAGGGAGTCCCGCACAATGATGCTGATGTCAGCGCCTGAGTAGCCTTCCGTCTTCCGGGCCAGCTCGTGGATGTTGGCGTCAGTGAGGTTGTGGGGGGTGCTCCCCAGATGCAACCGGAACATCTGGGCACGGGCAGCCTCCTCAGGCAGCGGGATGTAAATCCGCTTTTCAAACCTAGAGAGCCAAGCACAGGGCAGGACTTGAGAGCAGATGGTACAACGGCCTTCATGGAGAAGGGCGTCGGGGTCCTCCCGAAGCTGGCCTCGCCACGCAGACACGAAGAAGCCTCCAGGGAAATGGGGTCGGGTTGCACCCACGGCTGCCAGCGGCAGGACTGACCACAGGTGGAGAAAGGCCTCAGCCCCTGGCTCCTACTGGGGAAGACTCACCTCCTTCTAATGGCTGAATCCAACACCCACGGGATGTTTGTGGCACCGAGAACCAGGGTCCCATCGTTGTTATTCCCCACCCCTGGGGAGAGAGGGGAACACAGATGCTGACCCAGAACACCCGCAAGGACCAGGCAGAATCCGTGGGAAGCACCCGATGCAGGGCCATCCCTGTGCCACCACCGGCAGGGCCACCAGCAGCTCTGCGGGGCCCAGGGCCCCGAACCCTGCCTGGCTCGGGGAGGGCCAGCAGCGGAGGCCACGGTGACCTCACCGAAGGCCTGGGGAGATGGAGCTGAGAACCGCTCCCCGGACATTTTCTCTCCTCCCTAAGGACAGTCAGATCCAGCCGCGGCTAAACGATGAAGCCCGGGGCTGGCTCTAGGTAGACTGAGAACCAGGGAGGGCACCCGGCACTGGCACGCACCCTGCATCTGGACCAAGAACTCCGTTTTGATCCTTCGAGCAGCTTCGCTCTCATTCTCATTGCGGGACCCGCAGAGGGAATCCACCTCATCGATGAAGATGATGGAAGGCTTGTGCTGCCTGGCCAGCTCAAACAGGTTCTTGACTAGCCTGTGAAGGTGACAAGCGGGTCTGGGATCGGGACACCCACACACATGCCCGGCCAGGGGCCCAGTCACTGCTTCTCTCGCCCTTCCCACAGGCGGGTCAAGACTCCAGTCATGCTTGGATTTCAGAAAAAGTCATCACAAATCCACTGGCAGCACTGTACCAGGGGGAACAGCCTGCCTTGGGGACAGCCTCACTCATTAGCTCTGGATTTACGACAAGTCCCTTCCCCTCTGCTCAGCCTCAGTGCGATCTTCTGCAAAATGGGAGTCGGTGTGGGAAATAACTGAACCACACGAAGTCCCCAACAGGGGACACCCACCTGATACCCAGAGACTGCGAGCGCATTTATTTCCCTTCCCTTCGCGAGGGCTCCTCTCTCCCAAATTCCCAGTCAACGTCAGCACTCTTCGTCAGGACAGCGTCCCGTGCAACAAGCTAGCAAGATCCCCCTCTGCTGGCTACTTCTCCCTGACACCCAACAGCGGCTCCTCTGGGAGGTGCCGTGAGGGCAGGGCAGCAGGGCCTGGCAGCTGACTTACTTCTCACTCTCCCCCAACCACTTAGACATCAAGTCTGAGGAGGACACAGAGAAGAAGGTGGAGTTGTTGGCCTCTGTCGCCACCGCTTTGGCCAGGTAGGATTTGCCTGTGCCAGGGGGTCCAAAGAGCAGTATCCCTCGCCAAGGCGTACGCTTGCCTACGAGAAAGAACAAACTGAGGTGAGCTTCTTCCGGACTAGGGAAAGGGAACAGAGAAAAAGAGGAGACTTAAGGCGGGAGAGAAAAGTTCTACAAGACAACAGATTCTAGAAACGAAAGAATAAAGGGAACTGAACAGCCTGCTGAGAACTTGCTCCCAGCCCCGGCTCGTGACCCCCAAGACCTTGCAAAGTGACACTGGCCGGCACTAGTTCCTGACCCTGATTACTCACTGGGGTGGTCAAGTCAAAGTTCTAGTCTCAAAGGTGTTTCTGACACCAGGGAGGAGCCAGATGACGGCGATGAGCAGGTCCCGGAGCCTCTCCCGACTCTGAGCCCGTGGGAAGGTCAGGCCCTCACCCACTGACGGCCAAGAGAGCCGAGTCGCTGCCTGCTCCTGGACACCTTCAGCGTGGAAGCCCTGAGCTGGCTTCCTCAAAAACCTGCTGCTTTTACCATCTGGGCCTAAAGTAGCTCAACTCTTACCTGTGAACAAATGTGGGAATTTAATTGGCAAAATGACAGCTTCTTTGAGGGCCTCCTTGGCCCCCTCGAGCCCAGCCACATCATTCCACCGAATGTTGGGCTTCTCCATCACAACAGCACCTACAAGAGGCAAGCGGAGCCTTTGACCTGGAGGCTGACTGTGGAGCCTGAGCCGACCCTTCAGGGGCCCTCACCATGTCCCCCTCCCATTGCTGCAGGGCCTCGGGCCTCTTACCCATCAGTTGTTCCTGCAGTTTCTTTTTCTCTGGATTATCCCCTTCACTGTCACTATCGCTGCTGGGAAAGGAGACAGAAGAGGACATCTAAAGCGAGAGGCGGTTGGGCAAGTAGGCATTGAGAGCAAAGTCAGGCTCTGGCTGCTGGCCCAGTGGCAGAGACGCCTGTCCTGCTCAACAGTAGAGACCCACAAGCAGGTAACTCAAGAACATTCGGGCCGCCTGTTCTCGACACTCCCTCCACATCCTCCAGGAAATACTCCCGTCACCCATCCTTGTTTCTTCATTAAGGGAGCAAGAATAGAGATGTGTGCCCTCTCTACAAGGCCGATGAGGGACGTGTGCTTTGGCTGGACTTCAGGAGCAGCTGGGGAGGCAGCTGGAGCTGTCCCCGGCCTTTCGCACAGACTTACAGCCAGATGGCAAGTGGCTGTGACTCAGAGAAGAAGTGAAGTTTAAGTCTAAAGGGGAGCACTCAGGAAGGGAACATAGTCACTGGCCTCACCCCAGGGCCAGTCCCCTAATGGGACATAAGTGGTTGGCCCTTCTCAAAACTCTTCCAGCCCCCCCAAGATGCCTCACCCCCTGGCCCTCTTCCTCTCTTCGGAGAGCGCGTTCCCTGGCCTGGGCAAGCCCGTCCACCCGGGAGCCACGCCTCTCAGCTCTGGTGGAGCAGCTGACACATCACCTGCCTGTCTCCCGCTCCGTGACACTCCTGCCTGGGACCCTCCCCGTTGCCTCCGGGACACCACTGGCCTTGATGCTCAGCTACCTGGGATCTCTGTGGTAGGTAAACCACAGATGTGAGGAGAGAGGCTGCAGGGCGAGCACTGGCTTTGTAGCTGGAAACAGAAGCCCTGGGTGTGGGTCCAGACTCCATCAAGTACCGGCTCAGTGACCCAGACCGTATCTCTGAACTTGAGTGTGTTGCCTCATCGGTCAGATGAAGACAAGAACTCTGACTGTAACAGCGGCAGATACTTTTTCATCCTGACTGCAGGCAGAGCTCTCGGGGCTTTCCCCGTGTCTTCTCATTTGCTCCTTAGAGCAACACTGGGCAGGCAGGCCCGTTATCCCCCTTCTATAGAGGAGGAACCTGGAGCCACAGGGGTCATGGCACTTGTCCACGGTCACTTGGCTAGGAAGTGGCAGAGCCAAGATATAGCCTGAGAGTCTGACTGCAGAATCCAAGGCCGGTGACCTCCACGCTGGCTCCCTGTTTCACTCACAGCTGAGGCACCGCCCACGGAAGTACTCTGCAAAGCACCTACGGAGAGCAGCTAGGGGCCTTGTCACTAGATGGGTGCAATTCCCCAGGAGGAAGGCGCTATGGAAGTCGAAGGCATCATGAGCACCAAGAATGGCAGGGAGGTGCTCACGGGGGCTCCGGTCCCGGCTGGGTACTCCCCTCCTCCGTGCTCACCCCTTGCTCTCACTCTGATTTTCTTTGACTGGCTTCTTGCCATGCTTCTCTTTGTTTCGTAAATAATCCTTCAGCTTCTCCGCTCGGTCTAGGTACTGCATGCACTTGGCTCGAATGCTCTCCTTGGCCTTGTCGCTGTGTGCCTCATCTGCAAAAGGGGAATCAGAGAGGGGGTACCCGCTCTGCTCTTGCAGGGGTTCTGCAGCCGGGGAGGGCCCTGCTGTGACTCACATTTGATAGCGTGTAGGAAATACTCCACGGCATGCTGGTAGAGCCGGAGTGCCTCCTCGTAATTCTTGGCTTTATCCTCTTCTGTGGCTTTTGTCACCAGGTCGATGGCTTTCTGGAAAGGCAAAGCAAGTACCTCAGTGCTTCCCAAGAGACCCAAAAAGCCCTTGGGGTCCCAGGCAGCAGGAATCCTGTGGATCTGTGGGTCGCACACCATTATGTCGGCCTCTATTTCCAACATCAACCAGAAAGGCCTTAAGAGGAAGCTATATGACAGCCATCCCTCTTCACAATGCGCTCATAGAGTGAAAAGCAACTTCCTTCTCAATTTCACTCTGGATTTCAGCAAGTGGAAACCTGATCAAATATCTCAGGTTAGAGCTCAAAGGGAGAATCCACTTTCTATTCCGTGCCTCAAGGGAAAGAAAGGTGGACCCGGACCCGGACCCAGCACCTGGAACAGGGGAAACACCAGAACGAACTGACTGCTGCGCTGCTCAGCATGAAGGCCAGAAACTGCATTTGACCTCGAAGGCCAGAGAAGAGCCAGCCCTGAGTTTTATGAGACGGACGAAAGGGATCTCTACTTCCTTCTACTGGCCCAACTTGCTTCTCTAGGGTGAAAAGGGGAGACGGTTTTCCTAAATTTGCTACTTAGGGAAGGGATGCTTGGACACATGGGTCAGTATAGCAGTAGCTTCAGTGAGAAAAGTGCTTGCTTACCCCAGACCCAGGTATGTGCTACCAATTAAGGGGAACGGTCCTCTGGAATCTTGTAAGAACCCTTGAAAGTGTCTCTGTGAATCTCACAAACCCTGTCGGCCTGTGCTCTAGACTGAACCTAAAACACGCTGGATCTTTCAGGCAGCTGCCCCACACCTACATATCCAGTTTTAGAAACCATGGCTTCACCAACCCAGGAAGCATTACCAGAATTATCTTCCCCAAGCTGATGAGCACTAGACACGAGGCGGGCCGATCCCACTGTAAACACAAAGTTCCATCCACAGCAAACAATAAACCTCCTGATCAGCTCTTGGCAGGGCCCAGGCTTTGTGCAGCCCTTCCTCATCTGAAAGTAAGAGGTCTCCGAAGGACACAGCTAGTCCTACAAAACTAACAGACTGGAGTAGGTTAGGCCAGATTGATGAAAACTGAACTCACCAGGTTGAAAAGATGAGATAAGGTGAAGGGAGTGTTGGCTACTATTTTCAAGCTCTGCTACCTCCACTACCTAAAAATAGAGAATGACCAGGAGCCCAGAACCTTCTGGAATGATTAGCTTAAACAATTTTTTTACGTTTATTTATTTATTTTGGGAGAGAGCTAGTGGGGGAGGGGCAGAGAGAGGGGGGAGAGAGAGAATCCCAAGCAGGCTCCACACTGTCGGTGCAGAGCTCAATGCGGGGCTCAGACTCACAAACCATGAGACCACGACCTGAGCTGAAAACTAAGAGTTGGACGCT